GTAAACCTACCTCAGTAGCACAATCATCAAGACTGATATTCTCCTTGCCCTCCTCAGGTGCTGAGACTAATGGTAAATCAAATGGCTGGGGAGTTTCTGTATGAAAATCACAGTGATCAGTGACTTCATCAGTTACAACTTGTACCGTTTGAAACTTTTTCCTGTATTCTTGGAAAAACAACTTAACACTACTATCTTCTTCATCATCTTCAACCATAGGTGGGTCTTCAAAGGCATCAGGGAAGGTATCATCCATCATATTTCCACCTTCACAGTCCGACTCACTCACATGATCATCCCTATTGGTCTCCTCAGGTTGGGCTTTTGTGTCGCTAGGATGGGATCTCTCGGACTCCTCAGATAAAGCCTTTGCAATCTGCCCCAATTGATTCTCCATGTTCTGCATCCTTGTCTCAGTCATTTGCATCCTTGAGTCTGCTCTCAGCTGATTTTGTGCTAATTTGTTGAGTACTTCTTCCAAGCTAAAAAGTCTCTTTAAATCCGCTTCCTCCAGATCCTCTTGTTGATTATGAGGCTCATTACTCGGGAAGTATGTAGGAGTGACTGAAACATTTGTGTCCGTAAATTGTGGGGAGGAAGAAGTGGGGTATGCAGTTGCCCAGTAAGGATGATCGTATGGAGGAATGGGGCAAAGACATGAATGGTGACCACCTCCACAGAAGTTACAAATGCTATTTTTAGGAAAGCAATCAACTAATTCCTCGGGACTTTTAGTTCGAATGAGGAATTCCATAATGGAGCCTGGTTTTGTCCGAGGATATTGTGGATAAGGATACTGATTAGGAGAATGAGATTGGGAGTATTGCGTATTTGGAAGAGGGTAAGAATAGGAAGATGAAAACTTTTGTGGTGTTGGAGAATAATTTTGATGAGGTGAGTAATATTGAGGAGGAGGAGGAGTGTAAGGAGGGTATGGCGTATATGGTGAGTATTCCATGGAGGTTTGAGGGTAAGGAATTCCTCCAGGAATTTGGCTGAATGGGTTCATCTCATGCCTTTTAGAAATTACCTGAAAGGTTAGCACAGAAAAATCCTACGGAAAAACTAAAAGAAAACTAACTAAAAAAAATCTCGCTGAAATTAATTAACCCTTAAAACCGACACCGTCCCCGGCAACGGCGCCAAAAACTGATGTGTGTTTTCTCGCACTTAAAAAGATTGTAATATAGTGGTGTAAGTACGAGTATCGTCTCCACAGGGACGGACAAAAGGGAATTAAGAATTAACTAAATTCAGCGATTAAAAATAAATAAATAAATAAAAAATGCGTCGTGCGAGATTGATTGGGTTGGAAAACTAAACTAATCCGAATGAGCGAATAAAAATAAAGCTTGGTTTCTTTCTAATTAACGACGAAGGGAACAGGAATTGATTCCGGGGTTAACCAGATTTCTGGCAGAACAGACCTAATTACATGAATTTAATTTAATTGAGCCTAGCTAATCATTACTAAGTTCTTACCGCTCTCGCGGCGTAGAGTACAATAATTTAGGGGACTAGGCTGATCTCTCATGCGACAAGATTCTAAATTATTGTCAAAACGAGCGAGCTTACGGCCCCTTAATCGTTACTAATCTCTTAGCGAACGATTAAGTGTGTGTGAATGTGTCCTAGAATAAACTAGATCTCTCTTAATTTATTCTACATGCAATTGTAATTCTAGCCGCAGTTCCAGGTTACAAAAGATATCAGTTAAATTATTCAAACACAAATTAAACGGCATTCATGCAATTAAACCAACAAGAATCTAGCCATCAATCATGATTAACCCCTTCATCAACCCCAAATCCCTAAATAAACTACTCACAATTCATAATTGAAGAATCAACAGAATTGAGATGAATAGAAATAATTGTCATTAATTAAAAAGATGAACTTACAAATAATCCCAGGGTCTTGGAAGAAAATAGCGTAAAAACGGTGTTAAATTCGTCCCTAGGCCTCTCCGTAATGTTCGTAACCATAAAAAAGGGTTAGGGAGGCCTTATTTATAGAAAAAGGGGGGAAAATATGAATTCGGGCCGATTTGGGATTCAAGTTTTCGTCACCCGGTGCTACGCACGGCGTGCGTACCCCCCACGCACGTCCGTGCGTTGCTGGCAGTGTCTCCCTTGCTTTCTCGCCTCAGACGCACGGTCGTGCGTTCCCCTACGCACGGCGTGCGTAAAACTTCCGAATTTGACAAAACGTCCTTCATGACAGTTGTAGATAATGAAGTCCTCTATCCACCCCAATTTTCCGAATGTGATTTGAATCATCCAATCAAGAGATATGATCCAAACGGTGGAAGGTGTCTTTCTGAAATCGCAACAGAGATCATCTGACTTCATCGTCTGTTTTCACCTTCTTCCTCTCAGATTCTCGCAAAGGTGTCTTCATATGATTTGTAGCCCTTGAAGTTTTCTTTCTTATGCAACTTGAATCGTGTCCATTGGTTGCTCCTACAAAGATATAAGCTTGAACGATTGACAGAAGGTCATCCTGATCGTCGTTTTCAAGCTTCATTCATCTTCTTTTGAACCCGAAGCCAATCCTAGAGCTCTTTTTCCTTCAAATCTTCATCGTGAATGTTCCGGTGACCTCCAAAGCTATCAAATCATTCTCAAATTCTTCTCAAATCATCCCGATTGTTCCTCAAGTGCCGGTGCCGGGCTCAAATTCCCTGATTTTGACTACAAACAACACAAAACTCGAACCAACGCCCGGTAAACATAACTTGAGCTAAAATTGAGACTTGTAACACCTTAAAACTAGGAAAATCATCAAAAGCCGATCTCAACACGCATAAAATACGTGTCAAAATACGGACTTATCACATGCAATCATTGGGAGGATCATGTAGAGGTCCGTTTGCTTTTTCCATGGAGTTGGAATAATGCAAAACCGCAACACTAGTAACCTTCTGCCAAATTGAATGGTTTACAAATCTCGAGCTTGCAACAATGTAGTAGTCACTACTTGCATTCTAGTCTGTTGCGACCAAAAAAGTGTATGGCTTTGAATATCTATGCTAGTGAAGTTCTGCTGAGAGAGGTATAAGTTCCCTTTGTCTCCTAAAAGCAAATTATGGCTTTGAACCTAAAGTCAATATTTCATAATTTCATCATCATGTCAGTTTTGTTTTACTGACAGTACTATTTTTATTGTTTTCGATCTGATATGCTTATATTTGTTTGAAAGGATTGATGTATATCTTTATTTTCATTTAGGAAAAATATGTTTACAAGGTTCAATTCAACCAATTGCGATGTCTATATATGAATGATATCCATTCAGGTTTAATTTATAATTATATTTGTCTTTCATGCTTCCTCCCTCTCTTTTTATGGGCACTTGATGCATCTATATATTTTTGCGACATATACTTTCTAGTTTAGGATATACTAATTTACTCTATATATCAATTGTATATCTCATTGTTTTTCTATAGTCACTTATGTCTATAAAACAATATGGAGTACTTTTATGAACTGTTTTATAACAAAATACTGCTCCCCTGTAAAAATCACTGTTGGGCGCACTAGACCCTTATGACTGTTTTAAAACAAAATACTTTTCCCTATATAAGTTACTGTTGGGAACACGGGACCCTCTGACCAGCACCACCATGCATGTCTTCATCTTCTTCATATGCCTCTTGTGTTGCCACTGTTGTCATTTGAACTTATCATGTTTAACAACTTACCATGAGGAGTTGCCTATTATCTAGGTGGGTCAAGATAAACTCGAAACCATAAAGTGCCTCAATTAGGGACAATGTGTGCTCTAACAGCTTTAAACATTGTTGTTTTATTTAAATGTCCCCCGACATTTACCCCACTGATTTTGGTGGTTGGCCTTCCGGGACAAAAAAAAATTATCATTGCAGATAATGTATGTGCATTTTTCTATTCACCCGAAAAGAAGTCTCACGCTCGTAGTGTTTTTGTTTGGTTTGAGGCTAAAGTATTCTTGATTGTTTGGATATGGTCTGTACTTTTGCAGGAAAAAGTGAAATTCATGAGATCATGAAAAAAAATCCCTTCACTTTCTAATGTCGAGGTAACTATTGTTTTTTATGGTGCACAAAAAGTTTCAACTTTTAACTTTTTAAGTCCAAGTCCTAGGATGGGGTTGTGGGTTTTGGAGGAGGAATAAAGCGAAAAGATAAATTGAGCCACAACCTAAAGTGATGAAACAACTTAACGTTTCCACCCCTCTTCTTAAAGTGGATCACAAGGTATGAATTCTCAACTTACAATGTTATTTTCTCTCTCTCATAATATTTAGAATTTAGATTTGTTATTCCTGACAATCTGGCTTTAGGAAAGGTTTTTTAAGAATCATATTATTTCTTTGATAACTATTTATTATGTTATTAGAAGATCTGTTTTTTTGTATGTATTTAAAGATGAGAAGTTAGAGCAGTGTCGTCAAATGATTACTTTTGTGACCACTTTTTTGTATAGATGAGACATATGTACAATTAAGTATGGAGATTTTATTTATGTACGGGGATGATTATTATATAGTGTCAATTAACTTACTCTAGTTGTTATATGTAAAAGATTATTAATGTTGATCGTGGAATTTATTCGAAGATTGGAAGTTTGGTATATGGTGTTGACTGTACAAGTATTGAATTTATTTCATACAAAAATAATCAATTACAAAATATGATATTGATTGATATTATAAAATTTTGAAAAACTCGTATATATGTATGTCACTATTCAACACATAATGATGCTGATAAATTACATTAAAATTGACGGTTAAATATCTTGTCGCTTTGATATGACAATGAAGAATTATGTTGTCGTTAAAATGTAATGGCGAATGAATATCTTGTTGTTAATAAGTAACGATGAGTCGATGACATCTAGTGTCGTCGTTAATTATTAACGATGAACTTTGTCGTTAAAACCAATAGCGGCGGAACTTATAGCGACCACTCGATGACGTAAAAAAGATCATTAAAAGCTTTAATGACAAATTTTCGGGCCTAAACGATCATATTTTTCATGGAATGATAGTGAGAGAAGATCATAATATTTATTATGAGTAATAGTTGTGGTTTTCTTTGGTCCGAATTGAATATTTTATTTTTAGGCCCGTAACTTATCTGGACCGTAAGAAAATCGGACCAATAATGAATTTTTGAGTTGGTTGGGTTGGGTTGGGTTGCCCCACCCCAAATTTAGGCAGACTTTCATTGTAATATCATGTGACAACGGTAATTCCATGCACCGAACTTTTACAATTTGTTGTGACCCACTTCTTCCCACTTTTGAATGTGTCGATTTGCTTTCTTAGCCTACATTTCAACAAGTAGTATCGATTAATATTACAAAATAATAAAGGAATATATCAAACCCACAATAACAACAACAATACAATACTCCATAGTATTAATGACAACACTATTGCTACTATCACTAATAGTAATAGTAATCTTAATAGTAGTGATAATGATAGTAATACTTAGGAGTGCTTGCATTCAAGCAAAAATAATAGATCAACAATAAGTTCATTTTATTCCGGTTCATAATATTTTCAAGAAATTTGAGAAGTTAAATTTGTACACTTTGGAGCATTTTGGGATTCAAGTTGCTAGGATTTCTCTAAATAATGCAATGGGCGAGAAAGGAGGTTGGGTGCACTTTGGAGCATAAGAGTTTTTTTTCCTGTCAGTGTTTTTATATTTTACTAGCTTAGTTGCATATCTAATTTTCTTTCTTCATCAGCGTTTATACTATTTCATTACTTTTAACAAACGAAATAATAACAAATATGTGCTCAGAATAAAGCTAGTGGGCAAAAATATGCTTTAGTGATTATCAGAGTAACTTTAGTAAGCATGATTATGTTTAACTTTACCACTATAGTGTCTATGAATTGTAACTATACTATTATTTTATCCATATATAAGTTATACTACCTCCATCCCAATTTATTTTGCAAAGTCAACATTTTTTTTTGTCAACCAATGTTAAAATTAAATCCCCCTTATTGATAATTAATTCAATTTTAATAATTAAAATATACACATTCGGAAACTACATTAAAATCTCTACAAAGTTGCAAAATTCAAATTAAAATCTAGAAAAAATTATACAAATATTACTATTTTAAAACCCACTAACAAAAATGTGACTACATGTTAAAGGGAGATTACTAACTGCCTGCATGCATTACTAAAACTACCGTGGGTATTTGTAGTGTGTGAATAGATAGTCACACTTTTGTAAACTTACAAACTATTGGTAATATATATGTAAAAATCTCTAAAATCTAATTAAGAATTGATATCCTAATTAAGGATGTTTTTACTTGGACTGTAATTTGCTGGTCTGGTCTGGTCTGGTCTGATCTGGTCTGGTCTGGTCTGAACTGGTCTGGTCTGGTCTAGTAAGGTCTGGTTTCTTTGTATTTTTATAACTATCCAAGTCTGGTCTGGTCTGGTCTGAACTGGTCTGGTCTGGTCTGGACTGGTCTGGTCTGGTCTGGTCTGGGACAAATTACAATCCAAGTAAAAACATCCTAAGTGAATTAAATTGCTCTGTTGACTCAAAAAAGTCAATTTTGCAACTCGATTTGGGACGCAGGGAGTAATATTAATGGCATTTGTGAAGGGTTCTTTACCTCGTTTTCCCAATCACATCGAAGTGTGATTATACACAATATTAGAGTTTGCACTGCAGTTCCACCAAAGATCATTCCAGCCCATATGCCCTGTAGTGTTCATTAAGCTCTAGTTTATCACTTTAACTTATTCAAAAAAAAAATAGACACGCTCAATTACACACGAAGTACATACAGAGTACAGACTTTAAAGTTAAATTAACTCTTGAAATTTAACAATAAAAAGTATACTAATGAAAGAAGAATTCAAAAATCAGCCCTTAATAATTAAAATTTACATATTCAGAAACTAGATTAAAAGCTTTTCAAAGTTGCAAAATTCAAATTAAATTTTATAAAGAATTGATATTCTAATTTTGTGAATAAAATGACTCGATTTGACCCAAAAAAAAATCAATTTTGCAACTTAATTATTGTATATTTGAGGGTTGATGCTTACCATGACGCCTTGATGAAACACCCATCCCATTATAATGCCAAGAGGGAGTCCGAGTAAATAGTAGCACCCAAGGTTTATGTAAGCTACATATGCCTGCCATCCAGATCCAACCGCAACCCCTACAAGGTTTTGAAGTTTCTATTCATAACAAATCATAAGCGTAGCTAGGGTCTAATCCAAATTTAGTAAAATCCTTCAATTATATCTACAGTTTTGTGTAAAATGTTATTAAAAATCTGTATACAGGTCCAACCCAAATTTAATAAAATTTGTATTATATATTTGAATATTATGTACTATTAAAAGTTACATAAAAATTTCTCTACTGAGCACCCTAATAATATTTGGCTACCCTCGGCAGAAAAAAACACGTTAAGTCATTAATATTTACTAGGAAAAACTACATCATACTTGGTGATTGGTTTAGAACCGGTTTGGTAATCATTATTTTTGGCCGCTTATCCCTCAACTTTTTTCGAACGCGTCTTTTGATTTCGCTTGCAAATGGGATAATAATCAAAATCATTAAGGTTGGAGTATCTTTGCTGGCTGATTGATTAAAATTGATGAAAAATAATTAATATAGCTATTTTTCATAAAATTATATTCTTATTTTATTAATAAAAAATACTATCATATTTTAATTTTTTTCATAATTAAACATATTTACTCAATTCAGACGTTTCAACTAGAATTTTACCAGTTTTAACCGACCTGACTGATTGAGTGTTCCCAAATAGGCTATTAGTTTTATTAACAACCTGATAGAATTGGTTGAATGCTATTGAGCAGAATAGTGAAAGCTAAGAGAATTGAGAGGTGGCTGACAGCTTCTAGGACAGGTTTGCTCGATGAAAAAATTAGGGCCAACTTGTCGTCAAAGATTAGGATTAGCCCCCAAAAGATCAATCCAATGATAGTTGAATGTACCACTGATACGATTGCAGCGAATTTAGCTCCTCTTCCGCTCCCAGCGCCCAACTCATTTGCCACCCTCACGCTGTACAATACTAAGTGTTAGTGTATGGCATCACGTTGTATAAGAGGTGTTTAAAATTGATTCAGTTTCTGTTTGTTTTAAGCAAGTAGAATTAGAATCACTTTTTCAAAAAAAAATCCCCTAATTTTTAAAAAACTGCTTGTAGGAGCAATTTGAAGCATTAAAGAGTACTTCTTCACTTTCACCCAAATATTACAATATTTGATTCTATTTTCTGAAAGAACAGAATCGATTTTAAGAATTATATCCAAACATCTTTCGAGCAAAAAAAAAAATTATATCCAAACATCTCCTAAATTACTTATACATATATGTTACTAAAAACAAATACGGAGTAGGTGTGATATAATCAACGAGTAAATGCCAATTAAATATTTTGGCTAGATCGTCAGGTTATACAAAAGTTGAAATAATTACATATTTACAACTAAAATAGATATTGTTTACAAAAATGTGACTAGTGACGACTAGAGTAGTAATGAAATAATAGTAACTTATGTTTAAGTTTTAAACTTACATTACCATGACTATAGATTGTAGTAACTATTAGTCATATTTGTGTAAATATGTTTTATTATAGTAATATTTATGGAAAAATCCCATACAAGTTTGCAAAAAAAAATCAGCTTGCACAAATGAAAAATAAGTGAAATGAAACGCGAAGGAAAAGCAATTAACAAAATGGGTTGTGTACATATTATAGTACATACTTTTTATACACCTTTCATATATCGTTTGTGAATAGACTTTTTATTCACGAATAGCTTGTTCACAGACAAACAAATTTTTTCCGTGAACAGATTATTCACAAGACAAACAATAGTTTGCTCATTGATTTGTACAAATAAGTGTGTGCATACAGATTTTTATCAATTTTGAATAGAGTGATGAATGTTCTAAAATGTATTTTTTTAAATCGATTAGAGTGATTAGTGACAGAAAAGCCAGGGTGAGTGAGAGTGGATGAAAGAAGATAGAAAATGTCCAAAAGGTGGTGGGAGGGGTGGGTGAGAGTGGATAAAAAGGGAGAAAATGTTTACAATGTGGACACGTGGGTGTCCTGTTTAGCCCGTTTTACATGTATTAAACACATTCTAACTGAATAATATTATAAAACAGTGGAAAGTTAGTCGTTTAAAATTAAGGTATTCGACGTTGGTCGGTCTCAATATTCGGGTGAAGACGGCTGGTCAAACAAAGAAGGGATGAACGTCATGTATAAGGAGATCGATTTTTAAAAACTATGATATCTTATGCAATATTTGGCGAATGAATTTAATTTTAACACTAACTTTAATCCATTTGGTATTGTTGAACTATTAGATTCATTTCTTATCTTACCACATGTTATTGACAATTGATTCGGGCATGTTGATTAGGTTGTTGGGATATGGATTTTAGAGACAACAAGTGAGACCGATTTTTCGGATTTTGTTGGGTGATTTCTATTCGGCCTGTCTAAAAAATAAATTACCCAGAGTGCCAAGAAATTTCAAACCATGTTACGGTGGGTTTGTGGTTTTCAATTCGGTACTTTTCAATTCGTGCATCGCACGGGTGAGTTACTAGTGTTTAAAATGTGGACACGTGGGTGTCCTGTTTAGCGCGTTTTACATGTATTAAACACATTCTAAAATATAATCACGTACATTTTTGTGGAATACAAAACATACAAAAGTAATATGACTTGTCTGTTTGAAACGGGAAAAAACTTGTAGCCCTCATTTTTAACTTCTTTGACTTTATAAAAGTATGACTAATCACGTATCATGTATAATTATATCATCGATCAAAGTTTAACTTCTTTGACTTGAAAAGTCAAGTTTGGATAAATAAAAGGGGACTGAGGGAGCATTCACTATTTACGTAAAAATAATTGGGCGATTGAACTTTATTTTTTCAATGTTTACATTGAAATAAATGTTTTAGTTTTTATACTCCATATACGACAACTTACATTTCAAATTGCGTCAAGTTACATTTTCTGACTTTCTGTCAATGTGAGTTACATTTCTTTAAATGTGAGCTACATCACCCCGCTACTGTAACAAAAAAAGTCATTGGTCACGCTTTGTTACTATTCACACTTGTTATGGCTCTACAGTGATAGATAGTTATGTTAATACTAGCTTTCTATACGCGCAAAGCGCGAAATCTAATGCCCAAAATGAAAATTGTAGTCCTCACATCCATTTTATTAGTCCATTAAAATATTAGTCCTCACCTAATGAAGCATATGCTTTGTTGGGTATTATTTCTGATTGTGCATTCATTACCTAATTGTCGTGTATATCATACTACTTCCGTCTCAAATTGTTTTGTAAAATCAACATTTTTTTCTGAATCAATGTTAAGTTAAATCTCCTTATAGATAATTAATTCAACTTTAATAATTAAACTTTAAATATCGAGAAACTATATTAAAATCTATGTAAAGTTGCAAAATCAAAATTAAAATTTAATTAAGAATTAATGATATCCTAATGAAGTGAATAAAATGAACCTGTTTGACTCAAAAAAAGTCAATTTTGAGATTCAATTTGGGATGGAGGGACTAACTCATAGGTTAACTCAGTAAAGCTAATTCAAAATTCATAGGTCGACTTCGTGAAGGTTAGTCCCTCCATCCCAAATTGAGTAATAAAAGGGTAATTTGGGATGAACTTGGAAGGAGTTATAAATCAGTAAAGCTAATTCAAAATCGACCATAATGGACCATATGTTACACTCACCATACCTTTGTACACATAGACCAATCAAAATGATGCAGTTGAATTATTTAAATCTAAATTAAAAATGATTTAATGAGTTGGACCAATCATGTGAATGACAGGTACAGTACCCCATTTTTTAAATGGGTACCGAAGTTGTCACCAAAATATTATCAATTACAGAGTATAAAAGCACTATAATCCTAAGGGAAAATTATCGAAATAGGACTAAAAAACTTTGAAAATTTCATAATAAGACTGTCATGTTTTTTATTCCCAAAATAGGAGCAATTACTGCCATGTTTGGGAAATACTGCCATGTTTGAAGTCTGGTACTGCCAGAACATGGCAGTACTTAATCCTATTTTGGGAATAAAAACATGGTAGTCTTATTTTGAAATTTTCAAACATTTTTAGTCCTATTTCGGGTAATATCCCTAATCCTAAACAAAAGTACTACGTATATGAATGACGTGCGTGTATAAAACTGTAATAACGGAGTAAAGGTATTTATGTTACCAATAAATGAAGTACAATATTTTATTAAAACTGTACAAGATCTAATGCACATAAAAGATGGACACAATATAAGGGTACTAACCCATATTCATATTTATAGGTGTTTTAGATTAGATTTAGATAATACGGAGTATATTTTACACTGATAGATGTTAATTAGTTAAATTTATTACGGTTAAAGTTGTAAATCGTAAAATGCGAGGACTAAACCTTTGCAAATTAGTACGGAGTATAAACAAATAACTATCTCATTTCCTATAAAAATATTATAATCTGATGGTCTTTTTACCATGCTCAAAATAGTTTTTTGATTGTCTTAATTTTCAAATTTCTATTACTATCTCCTTCTCGAAATAATTGTTTTGTTTTTGTTTTTTGACAATAATATTTTGCTTGTATTTATTCATTTTTTATACTAAAATATGAATCACGAATTTTATATTTTCCATCACTTTCTTAAAAGTTCCACTAAAACGAATAATAGAATTTATTAAGATGGAGCGTAAACTACTTCTAGAGTTTTTGTTATTTAATAAACTGTCCCCTTATGATTTGATCCATATTGAAACAATTATTTTTAAGAGTTATTACGTCTTAAATCCCAGAATGAATAAAAGTTTGAAACGATATTAATTTGGTCCGAAGTTACTCAGATGAACGTCGCACACTATAATTAACAATTCAGCATCATTTCACGAAATGACGTGGGTAGTCATGCTTTCAACCCAAACTGCTGAACTTCCCAAAACATAGATCGACAATATATGGAAAGAAAATAAAAGTCATTCCCTTTGTACACTCGTTATTAGGGCAGGGTCGGAAAACCGAAAACCGAATCAAATTAAACCGAACCGCAGCCAAATAAAACCAAACCGTTAAGAACCGAAACCGAATGTAAAAAACCGAACTAAACCGAAGTTGTTTGGTTCGGTTTTGGTTTTTACCCTTCAAAACCGAACCGAACCGAACAAACCGAAACTATTTCAAATATGAAATTTATATGTTAATTGTTAAGCATTAATTCTAATTAATCTTAATATCATCAATAGTCTTTTGTTTTCTTGTGTTAGAGAAATAATGTTTGTGTTATAAATTCATTTACACATTCATTGTCTGTAATAATGTAGTTATATTGAATGATGATATTATGTGTTTACTAGTTATTAGTAGTAATTAACTTTTATTTTTAGTACGTATATATTCATGAACTTTTTTGGAACTACTCACAAACAAATTAAATCAATAATATATACAGTTTTATTTATCTCACATATTCATATAATTCAAGACATATTTCTCTCTTCTCATTTTTATTTTATTTGTTGTTGTATTGTGCTTGCATTCTTTATGTAATATGTTTGATCCCTCTAAGTATTATATCAATTTTAAATCAAGTGAGATTTTTTTGGTAAAAAACCGAAAAAACCAAAACCGAACCGAAACAAACCGAACCAATCAAACCGTGGTTCCAAGTTTTGGAGTGAATCCGAACCGAAACCGAACCGAACTTTTTACTTTGATTCTATATTTGGTTTTAGGTCAAAACCGAACCCACCCCTACTCGTTATTATAACGAAAAGTGTACGCTTTTTGTCAGGGCCGGCTCAATAAATTAGGAGACCCGGTGCAAGTTACGAAAAAATAGGCCTTATATTAAATCAATACAATACCAAAAATCAACCTTAAGAAAATCCAAAAAACAACTACAAACAAATGTGAGATTGAGAAATGATCACTTTTTCCAACTTGAACAAATAAATTAGTAAAGAATCTAAAATAAAAAATGAACGAATGAAAATAGGATAAGAAAAAGTGAAATTTTAACCTTTGGTTGGATAATCTGAATAGTTGGATCATTCGAGCAAATAAAGTAATCAACTATTTTTTAAAAAAAATTATCCTATATATATACACTAGGTAGATTTTACAAAAAAAATGGGTCTTATATTTTTGAAGGCCCTGTGCAAAGGCACACTTTACACACCCTCATCTACGGCCCTGCTTTTACGGCCCTCCTTTTTGCTTACAAAAGATGTACACAAAATATCCAATAAAATAGAGTTACTAACCCAGTTCCAGCAAAGAATCCAAGTGGAATCATCATTTCCCAGCCATTAATGCTCATGCTGCAACAGGTGAACCCAAGGCCACAAATGTTTGGTTAATATCATCAAAGCATGTCGATATTTATTACCGAGTATATTCAGATTTGGTTTTATTTTGGTCTAAAAAGATATGACATCTTTGAGGGCTACGGAGCACTAGTTGGACTGTTAATCAGAATGGTGTAAATTAAAATTTAATCACAAGCTCGTAAATAACAAGTGAAACTCTGTCATTTATGTAAATTCCAATTTTTTGGCACTAAATGAGAGTAAATGAGTTTGGAATCACAAAATAAGACTGCTATATTTTTCTTTCGAAATAAGAGTCATTACTGTCATGATTGAAAAATATTTTCAATGATGATAGTAAATACAATCATGTGCATGCTGAGTATTGTACCTATTTTGGTAGTCATGACTCTAAAATGGAAGCAAATAATGTCATAGTACACGTATTTCGAGAAGAGAACCTATCAGTACTATTTTGGAATTTCAAAACCTATTTAATTCTATTTCGGGAACATTTCCTAAGGGTATAAATGTTTGAGAGTTTGAGGGAAAATGGGAGAAGACTTTGAAGGTAAGTTGTTGGAGGGGAACTGAATGTGAAGGTGAGGAAATCCTTCTTCTTATTTGAGAGTAGTATATTTGGAAAAAGAGTCTTAGAAGTAATTTTAAAAAAACACTTCTGAGGTATGATGAATTCAAATAATTAAATTGGTATTCACTTTAAATTGAGCTTATATTATCATTTAGTTAGTTATCCTTCAAAACTTCATTTCGGATAAACTTAAAATTGAGCTGTTGAGTGGTTTTGAAACGCCACAAAAACTTTCAAAGTCATTCCTTCACATTTTTAGGAGGGCCATCAACCCTTGCATATCCCCTCCCTCCCAAAAATCAACACCCAAACACACCCTGAAATTTTTTGTATGTGACAGTTTTCTTACCATACGGACAACGCATCGACAGCAACTTCGGCATTTTTCAAGTTGCCTGTCATCACTATCAGAATTCTGTAGTACCAATTCTCCAAGCTGTACATGAAGATATGCACTCCGTATAAAGTTAGCCACAAATAATAGAAATTAACTAAAAAAAAAAAAACTACTTCATATATGGACCAATACTCAATTGAATTAAATAGGTTTTGAAATTCCAAAATAGTACTGATAGGTTCTAAAAGGTTCTACTTCCATTTTGGAATTAATAGAATTTCAAAACCTATTAATTTCTAATAATGTCATAGTACACTTCAATTGAGTATTGGTCCATATATGAAGTTAATTTCTTTTACCCCTCTTACTTTTTACAAACTACTTTCTCTTTCCTACTTTATCATAACTTTACTCTACTTAATATACTCTCTTTCCTACTTTATCATCACTTTATCACCACTTTACTCTTTTTAATATACTCTCTTTCCTACTTTATCATTTACCCTACACACTCTACATTTACCCTACTATTTTTCTATTAAAACCCGTGCCCAAGGCTAGCGGGACACATAATAAAGAACGGAGGGAGTATAAAGTTTCTTTTAATTTATTAAGTAAATCAAGATGAATGCAATATGATTTGTGTTGGGTTCCCTGGCTTCCATCCTTAATTGAGAAGTTCATGAGAATTCTAAAATATTGAGAAGATGTCCAGAATTCTCTAGATGTGTGTAGAAATGTATTGAATATTCTGGAATATTCTGGAGCTTTCTACGGAGACTTGGAATTATCTAGAAGTGTATGAAAGAGCGTAGAATATCCTAGAACATTGTGAAGTTTTTTAGTGAATTGTGAAATTCTATGTAATTGTGTGGAAATATGTTGATTTCTAAAGAAAATAAAAAATGATAAAGGTTTTAGTACAGGAAAAAAGAATGTGGATAAGCTCAACCAGGCAAACATTTGGCCGCTTAAGTCATAATTCCATCAATTTTATGAGATTTTAAGTGATTCTAATTTTATGAAATAGGCTCTTAGTCACTTTTAATAGCTACTAGTAGCTACGATTACATTCAAATCTTACATTCTAATTTTACATCTTGCTGATTATTAAAGTAACCCACTTTAGTCATATTTTTGTTTTAAGTTTTATTCTGATAATATTTTGTCTCTAATCTTTTGGATTTGATGTTTATCTTATGGTCTTATACTAAAAATATTGATTTTGAAAAAGAGAGCATATCAGCATACCAGAGCATAACTCCGGAAGAAACAGAGAGTTTAAAGAAATCCCAAAGACCAGAGAAAGCTTGGACGGAGAAACCGGGCCAGGTGAGGGGGCATCCGCCGCAGACGGTGTAGCCAAACATCCCACATAAGATGAGGAACCAAGAGAAGTTCAAGGTCATGGCGATGGCTACGACTCCGAGCCGGAACCGAGACACAATCAACCAGCTCACCAGACAATGCACAACGAACGCCACCAAATTCACCCAAGCAATCACCGAATTCTTCAGCTGGCTCTGCAAGAACCTCTGCAGCGGGAAATGTAACCCGAAGCAGAAGTGCAGCGGAATGAAAGCCATCACCACCACGCCCGAAAGCTCCGACACGTCGTCGGGCTGCCCCAAAAGCTTCAGCAACGGCGTCGCGTATATGAACAGCGGCATCATCACAACGCAGCATATTAACAGAACCACCCATGACCGTTGCAGATATACTCCCAGCATGTTGTACTTCTTTGCCCCGAATGCTTGCCCGCATAGCGTCTCGAGAGCGCTAGCCATTCCCAACTAATTTCAAAGGAAATTAGTTATATAGCACTTTATTAGTTTTAAATTATTTGTCTCACACCGAAAAACTAAAAAACAATAAAACATTATATAAGAAATGTGTTACTAGATTGAGATGTAACTCAGGATCTTAACATATTTCAAAATAAAGCATCCACTACCATGAGGCCAAAATCAAAGCCTACGACGACATTACTGCCAATTGACATGGCCGCAAATTCCAAATCGCCGAGATGGCCGGCGAATGCCAGGGTGATGACGAACATGGAATAAGAAGCGATGCGGCTGAAGATGGCCGGGCCCACAATCTGCCATAGCTTCTTTGATTCAATCCAAAACCTCTGTGACAAGTTTTGTTGTTGTTGGTGTATATGAGGATCGCCATTTCTACTTTGGATGTCGGAGGATGAATGGTCTGATAATAATGGCACCTTGTCTCCGTTGAAGATGTTATCGCAAGACATGTTACTCTTCTAACTTGAGTACTAATAGCTCTTAGATTCAGAAGCAAACAACTTGAGGTGTAGGAGGGGGACACCAATACTCCATTTGAAGTGGGTAGAAAATGATTCAAATAAAAAGGAGATAGATCTCGATTGTGTGAAATGATGGATTCAAAACAAAAAACGTGGTTTCAGTCGCCATTGTGTGGTTGACCATTTGGTGAGCTGTGTAGTGTCTCAAACAGTCAAACTTTGAGTCAAACCTAGGATAATATAATGGTGACAATTCCGGTACCTTTCTAAAATATGGGGTACCGTACCTATCATTCATTTGATTGGACCAAATCACTTTATCATTTTTAATTTAGATTTAAATAATTCAACTACTACATTCTCATTGGTCCATGTATACAAAGGTATGGTACCTTATGGGTACCATACAATCTACCTAATATAATTTGAGGCCTTTTGTTAACACCTCTTTTGGCCTTATCAAACTTGTTGGCTACGGAGTATTTATTTTTGAAATTATTCAAATATAGAGAAATCATCATGTCAGGCCGGCCTGACCGGGAGAGCCGTCCGGCCGAGCCCTTTTGGCGACCTTCCCGGTGGAATTGTTTGATGAAATTTTTTGAGCATGTTCCTCATCAAGTCTAATTTGTCCATACCAAATTTCAGCTCAAAATATAATCGTGATGGCATTCAAATCTTTTTTTGAAGTTGACTGCGTTTTTATATGTATATTTTGACGTAGTCAACTTCAAAAAAAGATTTGAATGCCTTCCCGATCGAATTTTGAGCTGAAATTTGGTATGGACAAATTAGACTTGATGAGGAACATGCTCAAAAAATTAAAAATTTCATCAAAAAATTCCACCGGGAATGTGCCCAAACGGGCTCGGCCGGACGGAGGTTCCCGTCAGGCCGGCCTGACAAGAAGAGTTCTCTTCAAATATATATCCAAAGTAAAAGTAGTGAAAAAATGTGACTCAAGTAACTTAGTGAGTATAATTGTATTCAAATATTACATCATAATGATTATAAAATTTACTCATAATATCTTATAGCCACATTTTGTCCAAAGATTTTTTAATTAGTAATACTTTAGGAAAACCTCCATTTTTATCAAATACTGAATTTTTTATTGTACATGCTCAATTCTTTTATAATAAAACTAAGTACGGTTATGATTGTTTTTCTGGATGTAAATGACCAATTTAGTTTTTTTCATGTACTTTTTTTCTTTATTTCATTAAGAAAGCTTATAAAATGTACTTTTTCAGAATTCAGTTGTTTGAACAAGAATTTCATCAATTTAAGGTGGTTCACCTATTTAACAAATTTCGATATTATCAAACAGACTCTTAATAATGCATATATTATACTAGTATGAGATGTTGAAGTAGATACTAACTTGGTCCCTTATAATTTTGTCAACTTTCCTTTTTTTGTTGTCTAAAAAACTTTGTCACTTTTCTTTTTAATCAATCAATTTTTGTGACTTCTGTTAGTTCTCTCTCATCCGCACAAATATTTACCACACAATTTTTACTTTATTATTCTACGTGCCGGTCAAACATGACAAACCTTTTAAGGGACGGAGGGAGTATATACTACCTCCGCCCATTTTATGTGTCTTCTGTTAGATTGACACAATTAGTAATAAAGCATAGAGTATTTGAGAAGTAAAAGTTATGGTTGAAATTAAGTATAATAATTGAAGTGATGTGGGCCACATATTTCTTTCGAAAAAAGAAATATGAAACTTTTTTTATAAGCTAATAAGAAAAGTAAGACATGTAAATTATGTGAAATGTAGAAATAGATATAGATTATGTAGAATCATTCACATGTGAAAGTATTGATTACGCGGTGAAAAGTTGTACTTTACCCAATGCATTCATATCAAATACCGAGTAGGAAAGTAGCTAAAGAATGTACGAAAAATATTCATTACATGTGTACATATTTATGAAGATATTTAAAGTTATACAAAACTAGTTAATGAAGAGTAATTTGATTGTCGTTACTACTTCCACCTCCACAAAACTTGTATTACATATACTCAGTCTTGTTTTGGCTCAGTCTAAAACTCTTGGTTTCCAATGTTTGTTGTCATACTTCCAACTTTGCTTTAACACCCGATTGTGTCACATCAATCAATACAATATTGTCGGCAAACATCATGCACCACGGTATATCATATCTTTTTGAATTTACTTCGTAAGTTCATCCATGACTACATCAAAGGACTTAGAGCTGATCCTTTGTGCACTCCGATAGTAATAGGGAACTCCAGACGCGGATCTCTATTAAAATCCTACTAATCCATATAATTTATTAATAAATATTTAAAATCTAAATTTTTGCCCCCAATTAGAGAAACTGATTGCCCCCAACAACCCATTAATGAATTATGTATTGCGGGTAGTCACTTAAACTTGTGTGTCTCTCTGTGTTGGTTAAGTTGTTTAAACTCTAAAGTGATACGGAGTATATATAAAGTATAAATATGAATAGTGGACATTGTTGGTTTGGGTGTACACCAATTGGATTAAATCCATTCGATTAAATCTGATACGTCTATAAGATTTAATTTATTGGTGTACATCTATACAGTTTAATTTAATTGATGAGTTACCTCAAAATTATATACGGAGTACTATGTATCTATTAGAGTCTAATTTCTATCTTACATTTATTAGAAAATGTCATTTAATAAGTAAAAATCATAAATTGTAAATTGCGAAGTACTCCATATATGTTAAATAAAATGTACTCCGTATCAATGTAATAAAAAAATTTTGGATCTTTTCCAGAAGATGAAAACTTGGTGCGAATGATTGTGATGTATTTTGTTTGAAATTTTAGCATTGCTATAATACAATTATACTTTATTACTACGTGTTTTATTCTTTTGTTGTACTGTAGTTAATGCGGTCATGCGGTTATAAAGAAAAATGAGTTTATGTGGTTAATATTGAATTGATATATTAAGAATAAAGTAATAATGACTTCTACCAGATCAGGTTAAACACAAAGTTCCGCGGTTATAAAATACACACAGACTAAACATCTACCAGACCAGACTAGACCAATTTAGACAAGATCATACAAGACTTAAACAAACTAGACTTAAACACACCAAAAAAATTCAGTACAAGTAAAAATATCTTTATTAGAATCGCACAAACCTTACTAAATTTAGTAAGGGACAAATTTAGTGAGACTGCTTAAAAATAGGACAATTTTAGCAGGGTGGGGGTTATCTTTTAATTACTCTGTCCCCAATAAGCCTTTTTCTGGATTCTCCACGTACTGGGGAACTCTGCGGTTCTCCCTATACTAGTAGGGGCGGATGTACATTCATGGTCAAGGAGGCCATGCCCCCCAGATTTTTTATTTTTCTGTAGTAGCAGTGTTTAGGTTTTTAAAAAAAATAGTTGTTTAGTTTTTTGTTAGGCCGCTTGTCAGTATGTCACAATGGATCGTATTATGTACCTTAATTATAGCATATTTTGTGGGGTTCTTTAAAAAAATCATTTTGTCGTTTATATCAACTTAAATTAAATTAAAGTTTAATTTAAATTGAGTTGCAAATAGTTTTTATTCATGTAATCTAGAATTTCCCCCCAAAAAAGATAGGGGAAATTTCGAGTTTGACTATAAAAGATGTATTTTCTTAAGAAGCTAAGATACTTTCAACTTCTAAATTCAAAGTTAGTATGAGCTTTTACAAATAGATGTCTATACTTAAATTAAACGTTTTAGAGTTAATAGTTGAAAACGTACAAACTATTTTTATCTTTTCTATTACACAAAATACACTTTTTAATCAAAACTATTATGGAGTACTATTCAAAATCATTATTCTTATGTACATAGTAATAATCGAGAATTTAGTTTTGTATCAAATCGTAACAAGTTGATTTTTTATTGGCAATACTTTAAGACTCTTTATATACATAATTCAATTAATTATCGATGATTTCCATGACATGCAAGAGAGAAGTTCTAAATCTTAATTCATGTGCTATTAGATAATGTTTTTCAATTTTTTACGCGAAATTGACAAAAATAATCCATACTTCCACCAATTAAACAAAAATAATCTCTACTTCAAACTTTTGCACTAATAATCCAAACTTCTAATCCCTGTCACAAAAATATACTACCTCTGTCCCTTTTATATTGGGACGGAAGAGGCTGACACGAGTTATAAGAAAAGAGGGTTTGTGTGGTTGATATTAATTAATAAAGTAAGAATAAAGTAAAAATGATTTTGAGTCACACAAACTTTACCAAATAAGCAGTGGCGGAACCAGAACTTTATTTTAGAAGGCGCTGAGAAAAGACAAAAAATATAATGCCCCCGTTTGGATAGTAGCGGCTTGAGCAAACCGCTTATAAATTTTAATTGCAAAATACAGCGGTTAGGTAGCAACCCGCTAAAAAACAAACAGGACCAATAAGATTTTTTTTTTGTACAGGACGGTTTGCACGTTTTCACGTCCTCTAAATATCTGTGTAACAAGCAATTGATTAAAAAATCAGAATTTTTGAAAATAAACACATATGATTATCTAAATTCAAACTATTAGAAAACTTTCATTTAATTTCCCATGTATAAAAAAGAGTGATGGAAAACATAATGTTGACATCTGAATAGCAAACTAACTACTGAGGGAAATAAATTCAACCCGAGATTGTTTTGCCCTTTTAGTCTCTTCAGTAGAATTGTTTGAAGACTCTCCAATTGGTACTAGGAATTTTAACATGTTTAACCTCGCAAATTATACAACAATAAATTTGCATTGTTTAATTCACATAATATTTACATAGATGAATCTGCACTCAATAATTGACTTTATAACCTGAATTTTTATTTAAGCAGTAGTACATAAATATATAACACAATTGACAAATTGTTGCATATATCCTAACTCAAAAAACAGTAGAGCACTAAAAATGTAAGAGAATAAAACTAGAATTCTTCAAAATTAATACGTAGTACTACGTAAAACTAATACGGAGTAAAAGAAACCTTACCCTCAGAGTGGCTCACAGAAACCTCACTCCCTCAGCTTGTCAGCCTAACTCAGCCCCTCACGAGACACAGTCACAGTCACACCACTCACACAAGTTTCCTAATTCGCCCCTTCAGCCTTCAGCCTTCTATTTTA